CAGCATATATCAGGGTGGTTGAAATCTATTGTGTTGTGATCTCTGATCGTTTTAGCAATGTGCAGCTTATATTGTCTCATATATAATTTTTTTTTTTAAATTACTTTCATTGTTCTGAAAGTCTGAAGAGTTTAATATGATTTCTCTTATGATTTGTTTTATATTTGCTTTATATTTGTATGTTGTAATAGGGGTTTTTTTCCTATATTTTTATGGGTAACTGGGGGAAATCTACTTTTTTTACACTGCTTTGGAATTAGATTTGTTCCGTATACCGTTTGTTTTAAATACCTTTGCTTTAAATTATTTCCCGTCTTAGTATGAGCGACCAGACTGTAAAGAAGATAGAAATCACCAAAGCATTCAGGCAAAATTAAAGAGAGGAGAAGCAGATTTTTTTGATGACTTCAGTGATGATGAAATTCTAGAAACTTCCATTAAAAAATGTGACAGACGGAAACCTTGCAAGACAAATAATTTAATGGTAACAAAGGGACAGCTTTCCTTAATGCAGTGTGGATTCTCTAAGTTGTTGCAGAGAGAAATTGAAACTACCAAAGAAGGAAATAATATTTCCGACTCTGATCATTCAAGTTCTGATGATCAGACTATAAGAACAAATGCAAATAGCCAGGACAGTGTTGTTCAGAAGAGTCAAAGTCATGTGCCTGTTTTGGAGCATGGGAAAGCTACTCAGTCACCCAATGGAACTGATAATCCAGGTACATGTCGTACAGACTTCCTTGTTTTATCCAGCTCTGAGGAGGAAGGGGACAGCGAAAGTGAAGATCAAGGCATTTTAAAGCAATGTGATATAGTCATGGAAACTGAAAGCAGTCCTGAAGAGGATGATGATGTCGTCTTTCCTACCCAGGTTCCAGCATGCCAACAACCAGTCCTTACTAAAAAAGTTGAACTACACACATCAACATCTGAAAACTGTGAAGAGTTAGCAAATGAAAAAGATGGGTTTGTATTTATGAGAAACCGGAGGCAATTTGGATTCCATAGTACTGAGTCAAACTTCAGCAAAGTCATGTCTTTTGAAGATATGAAGAACGACAGAAGAGAGTTGAAAGGAGGAAGTGACATAAGTGATGAGTCTGATGATATTGAAATTTCCAATAATTCTGCATCAAGAAAGTTAAGAACTTCCAGCTTTCTGAAGCGGAAAGAAGGACATGCCCATAACAATGTCTCCAAACCTCTGCTACAAGCAAAGAATACCAGCAGAAATGAAAAGGAAAGTGATTCTCAGAATATAGATGAATTTTCTTCTTCTGAAGATAACTTACTGGTTGAGAAAAGTCGTGGCAGAAAGCAAAGCTCTAAGTGTAAAAGCCAAAGACGCAGAGTTCAGTTTGGGCCTAAAGCGGTTCATCCTGTTGAAGATACTTCTGTTGCACAAATTAAGTCTAGCAGTTACACTGTGCATAGAACTACAGCAAGTAAAACTGAATTTGAACATCAAGAGCAAAAAGTGGAATCAATGGACAGATATTTAGGTAACTAGTCATTTAATTTCTTTTATTTTATTTCAACTAAAGTAGTAACATATGTTTAATTTATCGTTCTTGGCAGGTTTTAAGTTCCTCCTGCTATATATTTTTTCTTCTGTTAAAGATACTAATAAACACTCTGCTGAAGTATTTAGTAATGTTTTTCTGTATATCTTTTTAACTATTAACCTTCCTTCCATCACTTCTGGGATGATAGGTTGCTTTGTAGTACTTTGTTAAACACTTACTATCTGTTGAAAGATGCTAAGATTGAAGATTTATTAAGAATTCACAAATCTAAGTATCTGAACTGTAGAACCTTAAAAGTCTTGAAAGGGGTGTTAAATAACTTACATGCATGAAAAAAAAAGTGAACTAAGAGATGGAAACACCATGTAGAAGATATGATTCTGTTAGAGACTTAACTTAAACATTAATATTACAGCCATTAAATCATAGATGCTTTGAAACGTGTTTGTCCACCTGAAAAAAAAAAATCAAAACACACTGAAAAGAAAGCAGTATTAAACGCTGGAAAAACCTGAGTAAGTCATGATAAGTAATGATTGTTGTTAATTTCATAGAAATTTGAGGGGAAAAAAAAAAAACAACTGACAACCTTGGTGATGAGTGAAATCAAAACCAATTTCAAAACTTCTGTGTAAAGCTTTTTTAAAATTACAATATCCTTCTCCAGTGCAGCTGTGTATCTTCAGGATTTTGACATAACCAACGTCTTTAATTATATCTTTCTCCTAATATATCAGATGGTGTTCAAGAAGTGGCGTATATTCATTCAAATCAGAATGTGGTTGGATCCAGCAAAGCTGAGAATCACTTGAGCCGGTGGGCAGTGCGGGATGTGTTTGAGTTGAAGCAGTTTTCCCAGCTCCCTGCTAATGTAGCATTCTGTAGTGCCAAGGTAAAGAGAAATGTTTGGGAAATGTTTTTACTCTTTTTTTTTATCCTCATTTTTCATCTTAAAAAGCTCTAACAAACTTGTTTTTCTGTTAATGGCCACCATGAATGATCAAAGCCACTGAGGATGGGAGGAGGAGGCTCAAATGGAGGTCTAATAAATTACTTCTGTGCTTTGTTTTTTGGGGTGGTTTTTACATTGGCCGGCTCTGAAGGAGTTGGGAATTAAGCAGCACAGCACCCTCTGTGGGATTTTTTTGGTGAGAGAAATGGTAAGATTAAACATTGGGTGCTTGAAATCAAATACTGTGCCATGTTTCTCTGATTTGAGGCTTGAAAGAACTTCAGTTTGTCCTGGATCCAGTTAAACAAAAATCTAGTTGCCACGGTACGTCGGAATCTCTGTAGCATGGCAAGTCAAACATAAATCAGTTTGCACTTTTTTTTTTTGAAGGTGGACACATGCAGTTGCTGTAATGAGTTAAATTGTCTATGCTTAATGAGTGAAACATAAAACTAGAGTTTGCTGGGAGTGCTCATTTGCAGCAATAGGTATGTTTTATGCTTTTTGTTGGTTGTGCATCTTGTTTAATTACTTTTGGAATATATACAAATCTGGAATAAATTCAGGTACAGCTTCCAGATTCTTTTTGTTATTACATAGTGTGTTTAATCTGCTTTGATTATCTGGACACTTTGTTGTTTGCCTTGTAATGAACATTTGCGGTTTCCTCGGCTGATTCTTAGGATAAACCACAAACACAGAATAAGTAATTGGTGAATGTGTAGTTCTGTCTTTACAAACATGCTAGCAATTGCTATAAAAATTGTAGACGTAAGACTGTGTTGTTCTGGGCTGTTGAACATCCGCAGAGGCTAGAGGAGTTTCTTCCAGCGTTGTTGATATACTGTATTTAATTAGGCTTTTTTTTTGGAATGCCAAAGTATTTTTACACAGGCAAGATCAAACCAGGCCAACTAGTAGAAGTGAGGCCTATTCAATATTAACACATTTGCATTAGAATGTCCGTTATTAACAGAAAAGTTGGTCAAAAATACTCAAGAATACTGTGGAAAAGTGCTTATTTACTGGTAGTGACTGACAACATTATTAAAGCTAAATGAAAGAAAACTTTGAGTAGAGAAAACTAGTTTGTGGAAGTACATTCGTACTATTCATGTAACTTACATCTCATTATTTAGAGTTTGTGTGATTGCAAGTATTAGTTACCTTAGAAAAATTAACTGAAAAGTTATCTATTTTTCACGCAGAAGCAACAGTAGTATCGGTGCTCTTGGCACAC